GGCTGTAGCTCGGCAGTTATGGGTCATCAATTCAGCTAGACCCTGTCCGTGTCTCCAAGTGATTCTCACGGCCTCCCTCCACCACTCACCAAATGCATATAATATTAGTAGAATGAATCTTCTGCTAAAACATGGAACCATACACCGCCATATGCTATGTCTTTTGTGCATCCCCACTGGACGTATTCGTAAGAAAACAAAAACAAAAAAATGAGAGAGCCACGGGCATCTTTATCCTAACCCATAACTGTCGACATGCAGACCTGAACGCCAATCTTCAGCATATATTGGGGCATGGAACACACAATTTGTGACTTCTGCAAAGTTTCGCGGGGCAGGTCGTTGTTAGGCGACTACCCTTTCTTGCGAACTTGCCCCACTACTGTGTGGGATTTGCAGACGGGAGCGGGAAGGACAGCTATCATACCCCGCCTAAAAAAACAGTTGGTCCAACGGAATGAGCCCTATTTTGAGCTTCGCCATTCTGAAACTTTTCAATGGGGGAAGGGCCTGCGGAAATCGAAATTTCGGCAGCCCTTACCCAAAAGAAAAGTTTGGGCCTTGGGCGCGGCCGGTTTGCGAGCTTGCACGGTGAGTTTAACATTTTTGTCGAGTTGGGCACCCCTCCGCGTTCGTGCAAACATGTTCGCACGAACGGCCTGCGAACGTGTTCGGGCGAACCTTTTTTTTTTCGTAAAAAAAAGAAGTTTCGGTTTTTGATTTTTAACTCACGTTTGGCTAAGAAGTGGAACATGACTCCAAGGCAAAAGTTGCTTGTATTGTTGTTTTACATGACTTATTTTTTTTTCAGATTTCTTTTTTTTTTTACATATTTTTTTATAATCGCGTTCAGAGGGTTTTGGGCGCTCGTTCGCATTCCGTCGCGAACATGTTCGTGTTCGTCTCCGAACGCGAACACGATGCTACGTAGGTACTAAATTACTACTAATCACTAGTAAATAAATTAATGATCAGTTTTCTGAAAAAAAGAAAAAAGAAGGCTTGACACAAAGGTGGGAAGAAAGGAAGTTTTGAAACCTCCTTTTTTAGTCAAAGCCGTTGTAACATCGAACAGGGTGTGAACTCCAAAAAATTCCCTTATTAACGGACAATGAAAAATATTATTTTCGGATAATTTTCCAGAATTTCCGTAATTTTCATAGTTGAAACTTGAAATGATGAAATCTAAATTTGATCTAAATGTTTTTTAAATTTTAATGAATGTTGATCATGTTTTTTTTTTAATCAGGAAAACAACAATCAAGAGAACTGTATTGATTGCCTTTTTGAGAGGGATCATAAATAAAATTAAAATAAATTTGTTTGGACCAGGGTTGCCAGGCGGAATGTACTGAGGGCCCTAAGCTGACCCCTGAACGATCGGGTGTTCGGGTCCCCAAAAGGGGCCTGAACCTGAAGGGGTTGGGACCCCGCAAAAAAATATTTTGGCACCTAAATATTATTATTTTTTTCTGATTTTTGTTTTTTGTGAGTTCTTTGTGATGTAAGGTATGTCCCTCTTAATTTTGAAGCTATTATGTTCAGCCAAAAACAAACGAAAAATCAGCAAAGATGGTGGTGTCAAAACTTGCTTGCCCACTCACTAATTTGTTTTTTCTCTCTTTTCACTTTTTGTTTTTCCTTTATTTCGGGACATGAAAAAAAATATTATTTTTTCAAACTTTATTTGTAGATTCTCTATTATGTAAGATAGACATACATAAATTTTCATGGCATTTGTTACAGCCAAAAAAAAAAAGAAAAATCGCCAAAGATATACAAGGAATTGAAGGTAGTATTTTACTCATGTTAAGTCATGGACTGGTTTCTTCAGCCCTTTTTTCATGTGTAGGTTCTTTATATGATCGACATAAAACCCGACTTGTTAAATATTATGGAGGTTTAATCAGTACAATGCCTATCTTCTCTACTATTTTCCTCTTTTTTTACTTGTGTTTGCCCCCTTATTAATTTCATTCTCGTTTCATTTTTTGAATTTTTTATAATTTTCATTATTATTATTTATTTTTAGTTTTTTCTTTTTCCAAATTTGGTAAAGAATTTGGATGTAACGTTGAGGTAAATGTTGTTTAGTTTATTCTTCTGCATAACATATATTTTTTCAGAGTTTTTGGATTTTTTTTTTTTTTTTTTTTTTGGGGTCCGCGTTCGGCCGAACGGCCGAACGCGTCGAGAGCGGATGCCGAACGTTCGGGCATTAGGGTTCTCGGGCGTTCGCCCGTCCCGAACACCGGCAACCCTGGTTTGGACAATAATTACTATTAATTAGTATGATAATTCAATCATAATTGCTTTTCAATGTGCTTTATTTGCACTAGTAGCTATTTCTTTCATTCTGTTGTTGGTGTACCAGTTATACTTGCATTAATGAATTAATGTTGTTTTAACTTTTAATGTGACTGTTTACGAACTGTTTAGGCTTCTGGTACTACGAATTTTAATATTTTAAAATTTTAATGTTTTAATGTGATTGTTTAAGCTAACTGTAAGGTGCAGTGTCCCTTCTGTGCGTGCGCTTTTTTGTGTTGTGGGGAAAAATGAAAAAAAAAAATAACTGCAGATCGGCTGTGAGATAATGACAGAGGATGGGACATATCTTGGGAAGGTGAGAGCATTATATTATAATTAATATTACATTATAATTTATAATTAAAATATTCTGTTTTCTTTTCTGATTTCGTGACAGACTTGATTGGCGCAATGTCACACACTTGTTCCTACCCTTGTCACACAGAAAGGAAAAGAAGTTCCCAATTCATGAAAAAAAGAAAAAAGAAAAAAAGTTCATGACCCAACAGCAGGTGTAGGTGACGTGTATGTCTCTATGTGTGTATGCCCACGAAAGAGCTCTCTCTCTCTCTCTCTCTCTCTCTCTCTCTCTCTCTCTCTTTTACGGGCACACACACACAAAGACATACACGTCATACAAATCACACAATTGAGAGCAACTCAGTCATTGACATGTGCAAAAATTGGTAGCGCGATCGGTAAATTACACCAATCAAAACACGCGAGTACAGGTACAGCATGCATGACGTTGCACTTCGACGGCCACCAGGCCCTCATTCATCGAAGCTGAGTGTGTGTGTGTGTGTGTGAGAGAGAGAGAGAGAGAGAGAGAGGGGGGGG